TTTAACCTTCAGTTCAACTTCGATTGAACCAATAAGTTTTAAATACTTCCTTCTTCTAATTTAATATTGGACTCAATTTTCAAAATCTCATTTGAGATGCCCTTGTTTGTTTATTAATTATCGATTAACTTGATGTTGAAAGTTTAGTTAGTGGAGTAGCTCATATCCCACTTGCGTTTCTCACCATTCACAACACCAGCGTTTATAAAAATCAAAAAACCTCAAAATTTGTTGGTACTCAATTTGGAGAATATAACTTTGATAATGTAATTATCACAATGTTGTATCTATTTGAAAAGGAGTTGTCTTTAACTAAGAAAATGATCTTGATGTTTTAAACATAATCTTTTCATTATGCCAATGAGAACTAATTTTCTAAAAGGGCAACTAATGGGTAGAAAATTTGATCCTTTTTTTTATTCTGGCCATGGCTCACACGTTTAAAGTTGTTGAAGTGGCAAAAAAGCGATTTGATAAACCTACAGGTACTTAACCATGCAGTGCAAGCCCTTAGCTATAAATACCACTCACTTGTCCACCACAGCTTCTCATCCATCACTCTATCGACCACAATGGCTAGCACCACAAAGTTCAGGGCTTTAGTACTTCTAGTTCTCATTAGCATTAGCTTGGGCCTCTCCTCAGCCGCAAGGTCCCTGAAAGGCATTGGCGGCAGCGGAGGAGAAGGTCATGGCGGCGGAGGTGGAGGAGGTGGTGGTGGATTGGGATCTGGATCTGGTTATGGAGAAGGTGGGGGGTATGGTGAGGGAGGTGGACATGGTGGAGCGGCTGGTGGTGGTTATGGAAAGGGGGGTGGAGGTGGAGGCGGAGGTGGGGGTGAAGGTGGAGGTGGTGGTTTAGGGAATGGGTCTGGGCTTGGGTACGGGTACGGGTCTGGGTCTGGGTTTGGGTCTGGATTTGGAAAAGGTGAAGGGGGAGAAGGAGGAGGAGGAGGTTATGGGAGTGGAGGTGGAGGTGGTGGTGGTGGGGGATTAGGTGGCGGACATGGAAGTGGGAGCGGGTACGGATCAGGCTATGGTTCTGGATCTGGCTCAGGCGCAGGTGTGGCGCATGGCGGAGGATATGGAAGTGGTGGCGGCGGCGAAGGTGGTGGTGGTGGGGGATTGGGTGACGGGTCTGGTTATGGATCGGGTAGTGGATCTGGATATGGGGGTGGTGTCGGAGGGCTCAACTAAGCACTGGACTACTTTATAATAGCATTAAAGGGCTAAATAAGAGCTGCATGACCAATACTTAGATATGTACTTTTGTGAAATTGCACCCGTACTTAGTCATGCGCTGTACTGTAAGAGAACATAATTTTGTGCACCGTCTTATGAAGCAAATCAACATCAGCTTATATGAGAAAAGAATCACTCTCTTTTCCCTTTGTTTTTTTCTTCAAATTGAGGTTAGCTATGAAAGATGCGTATATATAAATATTTCAAGAGAAAAAAATTAAAAGTTCTCAATTACATTCAATGCTTTCAGGGTTGTAGTAGTGTAAGTGAGTCAAGCTGACTCATGACCCGACTCGAGTTTGGCTCAGTTAATGGCCTGTGAATTGAGCTCTATGAGCTAACAAGCCAAACTCAATTTAGATCGGATTTGAGCTGGCTTGTTTAGAAAAATATTAATACATAATATACTAAAAAAATATTATATTTGAAAACTTTTTCTTTAAAGTATTAAAATTGTTAAAAAAATAATTTATATTTTATATTAAGTGATTTCTTAGTAGTTCTCTCATAATTGTTCATTCTATATATTTATCATTTTATTATAGCACTACCTTAAATTAATATTAATTTCTTTCTTATATAATGAACAAGTTGGATTAAAACTCAACTTTCTTTGTGTATTATTTTGAAGTGACAAAAATGGGCAATATTTAAACAATGAAATAAATTTTGGTTCTATATTATTTTTGTCTAAGATTAGATATTAGTTCAAAATGACGGCATGAAATTATCAAATTAGAGTAGGCTTTTTTGAGAATTTTTTTCAGTGGTTTTATGGGAAGACTTTACCAAGCATCTTTATTTATTGAAATT